ATGGCGGCACCTAGCGCATCGTTATACCTTGCTCCTAGCGTGCCGTCGTCATTAAACACTGGTCAGCCGATGACCAACCACAGTATGCACGGACCTCCTGGTCAGCAGTACGCTCACCGGGACATGCCGGAGATGAAGTACATTCCATCGCAACATCACCAGAACGGACACAACCCGCACCTGGGTCAGCACCACAACCCCTGGTTAAATGCGGGTGGTCACGCCGACGGTGGACACTGGTCAAACATGGGCGGACACCTGCATCATCAAGAAATGAAAATGAGCAATAATATGGAAGGTCACGGCGGCACGTTGCATCACCGGCCCCAAGCGCATCACCAGATGCAGGTTGGTGCTCACAATTGGCAGATGACCAGTCTGCAGAACCTGTCTCCCCTTCAAACTGCACCTCATCCCATGCAACACCAGGGCTATGTCAGTATGAACGGAATGATGTCACCAACACATCAGATGCACCACGTTTTAAGAGACCCAGACCATGATCTTGATCCGCATCCTCCATCCGACGAAGACGCCCCAACATCTGATGACCTAGAAGCCTTCGCAAAACAGTTTAAACAACGTAGAATCAAACTAGGTTTCACTCAGGCCGACGTGGGGCTAGCCCTGGGAACACTCTACGGCAACGTCTTCAGTCAAACAACCATCTGCCGTTTCGAAGCGTTACAGCTGAGTTTTAAAAACATGTGCAAACTCAAGCCTTTGCTACAGAAGTGGTTGGAAGAAGCTGACTCCACCACCGGCTCGCCAACTAATATAGACAAAATCGCAGCGCAAGGGAGAAAACGAAAGAAAAGAACAAGTATTGAAGTGACTGTAAAGGGGGCATTAGAAAGCCATTTTATGAAATGTCCCAAACCTTCTGCGCCAGAGATCACTCACTTGGCGGATCAGCTGCAACTGGAGAAGGAGGTGGTCAGGGTTTGGTTCTGCAACAGGCGACAAAAGGAAAAGAGAATGACGCCGCCAGGAAATATCGGGCCTAACGGAGAGATTATCATGTCGGAAGGCAACGATGACGGGTCGTCGGTGAACGATGAAAGCCCACTCCATGACTCCTGCAGCCCCATACACAGCAGCGGTGGTGGAGGAGGATCCCCGGTTATGCCTAACTACAGCAGTTCCTTAACACCTCATTCCTTGAGCAACCATTCAGGTTCTTCGCCCATGTCTCAGGTTTCCTCCTTGCTCTCATACTCCATGGGCGGCCATCCGCACCTCCCGCACCATCCCGTGTCTCACTCACCTCCACCGCACGTGCCGCACCACTACCAACTCCAGCCTCAACATCAGCCTCTCGGAATAAAACACTCGCCGTCGCCGCACTGACTAGCGGCCGAGGAGTCGCACTTTCTTCACAGATATGCAGACTCCTACATGAGCAACCGTCATCATGAGGACTACCCTCCTTACTCGCCGAGGTAACATTTCCCTGGCATAAACTGTAAGTAAAACATTTTGTATGCCATATTGGCCTTTGTGTCTCAGCAAGGCTACAAAAGCTTACTTGGCAACAATAAGCACGTGTTCATTCTATACGGTAGCATTCCAATAAGCTTGAAGAGCCAAACTAAAATAAACTCACTTGCCTGTGAAGCTAACTTTGGGCTGATAAATTCAGTCAGTTCGCATGGACGCATAAACAATTCAATCATTCCGCTTTGGCGCAAAAAAATTTCAGTCAGTTCGTATCGACGCATCAAAAGTTCAATCATTTCGTATCGACACATCAAAAGTTCAATCATTTAGTATTGACGCATCCAAAATTCAGCCAACCTGTATTGACTTATAAAAAATGCAGTCATTTCGCTTTGACGCATAACAAATTCAGTCATTCCGCACAGACGCATCAAAAATTCACAATTAATATTATTATTCCCCATTGGTGTTTTTGACGATCCAATTGCCATTGCAAGACTGTTCCGATCTTTGACTGATTCTAACTGCGTGGATAGGCAAAGCTCTCCAGAGATATCAACATAGATTCTGCCACAACTACAAACTCAACCGCACTGACGTATCAATAGCACGCCGTTTTCAGTCCAGGATTACTTATGTTTTTTGTACGGCTGTTAACTCGCACGGATTCCACTAGAAAGCTGTTTTTCTACCGAAATATTCAGCCAGTTCGATTATTTATGCCTTTTGTTGACATCGTTACCGACCACAAGTGTGTTTGAAATGCTGTTGTAAGTATATTAGTGTTTTTATTAATACGAAACCGCTTTTACTGACAGACGATGTAGTTAAGAATGCAACTCGCAGATAACAGTTAGTCGCTTGAACATCTCAGTCAACTGAAAGAAACTAGAAAACACTTTGACAATTTCGGATTCTCTACTGCTAGACGCTGTTGGTTTTTGGGTAAATTGTGGAGTTAATTAATTAACTGTGATTCATTGCAATGTTTAATTTTTTTTTTCATATTCATGTAGACGTAACCACTCATATAATGTCTATGTTTTGCTGGTATCTACTGTGTGGTAGCTGCCGTGGCCCAGTGGCGGGATGTTTTACCTGCCGGATATAGGGTCTTAGGTTCAAATTCCCATAGGTTGTGTTGAGAAAATGATAAATGCTCTCTGATAGATCCTATCTAAAACTGGTGTCAATAAATGTGTAGGGAAGTAAAGGCGGTCGGTGTGATGTTGAACGTGGAGTGTGGATTAAGTTAGTTGAGTATCCTTTACAGGACGTTGCAGAACCAGCCCCAACAGCCCCTGGCTGTTGTGTGGTTTTTCTAGGCACATTCACGTCCAGTAGTTTGCCATTGCTTTCTTGACGGACTGTGGATAGGTTCCTTAAAAATATACCGAGTGGACCGCTTGTGTTGAAGAGGCTCTTTGCCTAGTTTACTAACTTATGTTGTTGTTTAGGTAAAATTGAAGTTAGCTTGCCTGTGAGTCCAGGTCATTCAGGGAAACCTACCTTGTTAGACTCTCATTCAAGATAACTGAGGGGTGTGAAAGTATGTGCTATTGAAATAGAATATAGGGATGTGATTGTTGTAAGGTTTCAGTCAATCTACAAAGTCAGGGAAACATATCGGTCATAGGCAAAACAGCATCCACTGTAGTAATGGTAGACGTAGCTTTGCGACCAATCCACTCTAGCAGATATCCACTCACTCTAACAGATATCCATCTACTCTAAAATATATTCATTTACTCTAACATAATCCATCCATTCTTACATATATCCATACACTCTAGCAAATTTACCTGCACTGTAGCAGATATCCATCCACTCAGATATCCATTTTCTAGCACATATCCATTCATTGAAGCAGATATCCATCCATTCTAACAGATATTACCATCCAGTCTGAGAGCTATCCATTCACTAGACTAGATACCGATCCACTCTAACAGCTATTTATCCACTTCATCCGATATCCACCCCTTAAATCGGTGATTCCAAGAATTTTGAGGAATCTTCATATTTCGCTGAATATAATAAGAAAGTCAAAATGGGGTCTGACAACTCAAAAAGGCAGAAAACTAACCACCAAGACTAACCCAGTCACCAATAGTTTTTCACGGGCAGTGTATCCATCCGTTTTTCTTCCACAGCGTCTTTCTCTCTCACTCCTATACCAACACACTCTAGACAAATGTTGAATAAAAAGGATCCTTTCTATCAGTTAAAGAAAGAAACATATATCTAACTACAGCATTCGAACAAAACGAAAATAAGCAGCTAAGTTAAGCGACACTTGAAATATGAATTTCCAGTGATGCAGAGAAATAGAATACTTAGGTTACATTTAATTGAGTTACACTGTTATCATTGTTTAGACAGTACAAACAACATTATAAATTTTTATTGATACAGTCGGTTTTGTTATGAATATTTACTGACTCGGTTCTGTAATAGATTAATGTAATGTAGTCCATAGAGAGGTGAACTCTGTGGCTAAGTCGATGCGAACGCTTCGTAATGCCGGGATGCCGGGTTCGATCCCAGCTGCGGGTCATGCGCCTTGTGTTGGTTTCGACAGTGGTATCAAGAAAGCCGACCGTTCAGTAGGAAATGGCAAATGACGTAAATTTGCCTAGAAAAACGACACAACAGCCAGGGGCTGTTGGGGTTGGTTCTGCAACGTCCTGTAAAGGATACGCAACTAACCTAGTCTACAGAGAGATACAAGCTGCGCTTGTAACAGTTTGGCCTTCTTCTGCTGTTATATAATTTTTGGCGACCTACGTAACTTTTAGAATGGTAATATTAACTGCTTAAGCAAATTGGGAAAAAAAAAGGAAGGAACACTCAGCAAGACTGTGGTACATGGGGCATATAATGCTAAAGTATTTTGATAGACCAATCGGCTTTCAGTGGGCGGTGTGGTCAACATCCTGCCGACCGCCTTTATTTCTCTGTGTTTTACCTGATGTCCGGTGTAGGCTGGGTGGACCTGGCAGCAATGATCTTTACACAAATATTCCCACTAAGTGGGGATTGAACCCAAGATCTTTGGGCCGGCAGGTGATCGTCTAGGCGCTTTTATACTGTGGTCCAGACATTACCACGACCTTCTTCTTCTGCCTTCTATCCCCCAAATAAAACACGAGGCTATAGATGTCCTCCGTGTCTTGTTTAAAGTCATTCTCTAGCTCTCTTCTCCGTGTATTTTGTGGTCTGCCTATATTTTTCAATACTCGCATGGGTTCCAGCACACGGTTTTTCTCAGCGTGTGTCCTATCCAACGTCAGCGTCTTTTCTTCACCTCTTGGTCCACTGGGATTTGTTTAGTTCTCTTTCAGATAAAGACATAAGTGATTCGGTCACACCATTTCATTCCCTAAACAGTGTGAAAATGTTTTAGACCACAAGATATGGATTCTGTGTATGAACTCAAACCGAGCGACGCAGTGGCGTTCTAACGTAGCTAATACTCGAAACACTAGAACGGGTACTGAACCCCCTCCTATACCCATCTCCTTAACACACACCCTAGGTTATATCAAACTATTAGGTTAACCCTGGTTAAAGCAGTGTGTGTTAGGATTTTGACTGGTTGACTTTAGAAAACACGACGATGTAGGTCACGTTTGGTGCATCACTAGTGTGCGTATTGGCGCGTTAGCCCCGTGAACAAGCTCCATTCATAAGCTACTCTAGAAGTTCGGATCCGATCAAGCATAAACATTGGACTAGGACAGTGTTCGTCAGTCGATGGGCCGCGGAACAGTCCGGTTAGCTCGCCTCTTTTTTTTTTTCTGCCTAATAATATTAAGGGGTAGGTAGTCAGTATGATTAACACACCAAGGACGTAAAATAAAACAGCAACAAATTCAGGAAATCCTATTCAACCACATAGATTTTGTAAACTTTGAACAGTAGCTGATATCGCGTTATCTGACAATTGTAATTTTGTGACATCGAATTTAACCAATTTACTGCTGTCTTTATTTTTTTCCCCTCCCCGCCATTAGATAACTGTCAGGTGGGGCGAAAACAAGTTCCCCTGTTTTGATAGGCCACTGGGCTTGGGGCGAAAACAAGTTCCCCTGTTTTGATAGGTTGCCGGGCTTGGGGCGAAACAAGTTCCCCTGTTTTGATAGGTCACTGGGCTTGGGGCGAAACAAGTTCCCCTGTTTGGGGCTTGGGGCGAAACATAGGTCACTGGGGCTTGGGCCCTGTTTTTTCATTGGGCCATTCTGTTTTGGCTTTAAAAAGAAAGCTTGATAGCCATTCGGCTTTAAAAAGAAAGCTTGAGCCATGCTGAACTAAAGAATTCATACCAAACTTATGGAAACCCATCTCTCTTTTATTTCCCGCTCACATGTTTCTAGTCACGCCTCGGTCTTGCTTCAAATGTAAACTATCTGATCTCTCTAGGGAAACTTTAACAAATCGTTTAGAAGCCTCCCCCTTTTCTTCCCTTTTTAAAAACTTATCATAGAGTTGTATAGTGCACACGATGATAGTCTCTTATGTTTGTAAACTAGTATCACAATGGGCGCATTTACTTCCTACGATATTTTCATAACACCAAACTGAGAATTGTCTAGATAGGAACCCAGATTAATTTCAGACACTGGGCTTCAGGAGGGGTTTGAACCGGCGACTGCAGGAGTGCACTATTAGAGCCACCACACATAGCTTTAGTAAAGGGCCCTTTTTCACGCCTTCAGGCTTACTGGGCATATAGGGCTAGACCTATATTTTAAAGACCAATCAGCACTCGTGGGTGTTGTGTTTAACATCACTCGACCGCTTTTACTTCACAAGACTTTACGTGGAACTCATTTAAGGCTGGGTCTACCTGGCAACCAAAGTCATTTTTGAAAAAGTCCGCCTTCGTTCAGATTCAAACCCTCGATCTC